AGGAGGCGGGCCTCTGCGGACGGGCGGGGAGAACGAGCACTTAAGTCTGTTTCCCGTAACTCCGGCAACTTCACGCCTTAAGCGCGCCAGCTCCGTCCAACCGGACGTCGGCGCGAACCCCTCCTCGACGTCGAACTGCGCAGCCAGATGGCCCGGCGCACCCCGGCACTCCGGAGACTCGCAGGCGAATCGGGCGATGGGCTGCCCAGGAAAATCGCGAAGCCGCCGAAAACAAAATGCCACCTGGATGGGCGCATGGTCCGATATGTATGCACCGCGCAACTTCTCAGGTTCCACCATCACTGTCGGTGTCATGCTCCGCTGCATGAGCTTACATTGTGGCGTCGATATCTGCACGTTGCCCAAATGCGCGGCCCGCTGATATGCTGCGACGACGCGGATCGATCACCGAAGATCAAAATCTACAGTCTGGCACATTTTGCGTCCGAGTGCCACCGCGCCCCCGACTGCTCGGGTCAGTGATGAGGCCTTGTCAGTCTTGGGCGCGTGCAGACAGTGCTGTTGCAATATGTACTTCAGCTCCGACGCAACCTCCCACCTGTTTCACCTGCTCGCTTGATAAACCAAAGTAGCGAATGTGACCGGACGCGACCGTCGTGTCACCGCGGTGCTCGCTGGCCTTGGCTTTAATCGACAGCCCCTGCTCACGTCCAGGAATGATGACTGAGCGTCGCGCTCTCTCTTCCTGCATGGCCAGTTCCAGCTCGCTTTGACGAAGGCCTCGCCACAAGAGCCATGGGCAAACATCGGCGCGATCACGCCGTCGTCACCCCTTCGAGGGTAAAGCTAATCTTCGAATTCGGCCTCCGTCCCGCGCGTCTCCTGGAGAGCGACCGCCGACTGGTTTCTGCAGAAGCCCACTAATGTGCTTCGTGTGCTTTGTCTCACGTCCGAGATGTAGATGCGCTTCCCTGATCCAAATGCAGAGAGAGAGAGAGAGATGGTCACAGGCAAACGGCCCCAATACGAATCCCTCTACACCATCAGAGACAAATTTAATAGCCCACTCAGTGTTTCCTTAATCGCGTAAAAGGTAGCACTGGAAGCGTCCCGCAGCGCCTTCTGGTCTAAGACCTTGCCCCGAACCGCCGCATAGTCCCGGAGAGGCCCTGGGCGAGAATCCACCGAGTCGCCAACATTCACCGGGATCGCGGGGTTGCCGCCCATCTAGGTGATGCCTGTGCCCCTGTCGTGTCTTGATCTGGCATGTGGCACTTAAAGTGCGCGAGCCGCTCGCACTGAACGCGTGTCACGATCTGCTTCGGCGCTTCCTCCAAGCCCGCGAAAATCTTATATGTCCATCTTTCGGAGGAGGGTGCCGCGAAGCGCCTCCAACTGCCATCCGGAAGTTTGGGGGTCCGTCTAGCAGCACGAACCTTCCTCTTCAGTTCGGTCAGGAGGCTGTCCTACAACCTTGTACTGGTTTTCCCTGATGTCTGCTCAGTGTGAACAAATTAGCCTGGCCAAGGACCCAACCATGCGCAGATGCGATTACCTCGCTGGTTGATCTCGTCTCAGGTGGCGCTCCCTAACAGGCCTCGAACCGTGTGAGGGGCGTGCCGAAAATGAGTGGCGCGGACGCATGGGAACGTCGCCACTGGGGCCTGCGGTGGAGCTCCCTGTGGGGCCACGAAACGCGTGAGTGGCGTGCCGAACTGGGTGGCGCGGACGCACGGGGACGTCGCCAGTGGGGCCTAAGGTGGAGCTCCCCATGTGCCGAAACCGTGTAAGGGGTGCGCGGACGTATGGGAATGTCGCCGCTGAAACCTTAGGTGGAGCTCCCAATGGGGCCACGAATTGTGTGAGGGGTGCGCCGAAATGGGGTGCGCGGACGCATGGTAACGTCGCCACTGGAGCCTCACGTGGAGTTCCTTAATGAGGGGGCCGCGAACCGTGCGAGGGGTTTTCCAATGGGTGGCGCGGACGCACGGGGACGTCGCCAGTGGGGCCTCAGGTGGAGCTTCCTGTGGGTCCACGAACCCTGTGAAGGGTATGCCGAAATTGGCGGGGCTGACGCATGGGAGCGTCGCCACTGAGGCCTTAGGTGGAGCTTCCCATGTGGCCACGAATCGTGTGAGGGGCGTGCCGAAAATGAGTGGCGCGGACGCATGGGAAAGTCTCCACTGAGGCCTCAGGTGGAGCTCCCTATGGGGCCACGGACCGTGTGAGGAGTGTACCACGATGGGTGGCGCGGCAGCATGGGAACGTCGCCGCTGAAGCCTTAGGTGGAGCTCCCTATGGGGCCACGAACCGTGTGAGGGGTGCGCCGAAATGGGGTGCGCGGACGCATGGGAGACGTCGCCAGTGGAGCCTCACGTGGAATGTCCGAATGGTGGGGCCACGAACCGTGCGAGGGGTGTGCCAAATGACTGTCGCGGACGCATGGGAACATCGCCAGTAAGGCCTTAGATGGAGCTCCCTATGGGGCCACGAACCGTGTGGAGGGCGTGCCGAACTGGGTGGCGCGGACGCATGGGAACTTCGCCACCGGGGCCTTCGGTGGAACTCCCTGTGGGGCCAAGTACCGTATGAGGGGTGTGCCGAACTGGGTGGCGCGGACGCATGGGAATGCCACACCTGGGGCCTCAGGTGGAGCTCCTCATGGGGCCACGAACCGTGCGAGGGGTGTGCCAAAATGGCTGGCGCGGAAGCACAGGAACGTCAACACTGGGGCCTTAGGTGCGGCTCCCTATTGGGCCACGAAGTGTGCGAGGGGTGTGCCGAAAGTGGGTGGCGCGGACGCATGGGAACGTCGCCACTAGGGCCTCAGGTGGAGCTGCCAAAGGGGCCACGAAACGTGTGAAGGGTATGCCCGAATGGGTGATAATAACGGCAATGCTGTCCTTGTTGTTGCTGTTGATGTTGATGATGATGATGATGATGATGATGATGATGATGATGATGATGATGATGATGATGATGATGATGATAATGATAATGATGATGATGATGATGATGATGATGATGATGATGATGATGATGATGATGATGATGACGGGAGGAGAGAGGAGGGGGAGAAAGGAGGAGCGAGTGAGGAACGCAGGGCGCTGTCTCTTCAAAACAAGGACCCAACCCCACAGGATGGTTGGGACAAATATGTGCACGCCCGCCACCGCCGCAAGCTCAGAGAGGTTGACCAAGAGGATGGTCGGGCCAGACGCGCAGTCTCAATGCTCCAAGTTGTCATAAACCTTCATCGGGATGGCCCGCTCTTTTACGAATGGCTCTTTTCGCAAACCCATAAGTTTTGTAAACGCGTATGTTGCTGTGAGCGTCCCAACGCAAGCTGCTGAGCCCGAGGGGGCGTAGACCTCACCGGCGATGTGTGCATTAAACTTACCCAGCGGGCCAACAACGCGCTTGGCGAGACCACCGGTGTGTGCATTGATCTCGCTGACCATGGCTAGTCTGACTTGTCCAGACGGGCGGTCCAGTGAACCCTGGATGTGATTTTAGAGGCACCAGGCCTTGCTGAGCCAGAGGCGGGTGCAGCGCTCCCAGCCGATGCTTGCCAAGGGTCGTGACCAGCATGAGGGTCCACATCACCAGCAGAGGCGCCACCGCTTGGAATGATCTGAAACAAGGGCGTCGCACTTCGGAAATACCCCTCAGCTCGGGCCGACTTGGCCCTCTGGGCATGCTCAGGTATCGACAGCCTTGTGCGCACAATCGCACGAGCAAGCGGGAAGCCATGAGCAAACCGAATCCTCGCTACTCAGAGGAGTGCAGATCAGAATGTGCGGTGTATGTGGGCCGCCAGGCGCCCGTAAAGTGCTGACTGATCCTGGAGAGCTGTCGGACGTAAAAGTCCTGGCGCTGCCGCGGAATAGCGGTGCCCATCTCATGGTCTGGGACACAGCAGAACCTTGAGCCGAAATGGCTGAGGAGCTCCTTCTCGTCCTCGTCCTCGTCCTGAGTCCTCCCCCTCCACCTCGTCCTCCTCATCCTCCTCCTCGTCCTCCTCTCCTCTCCTTCCTCGGCCCGGTCCTGCCCCCTCCCGCACCCGGGACTGGCCAAGGGAGAGGGGGCAGGGGGATCCAGACCTCTGGGCGTCGCAAAAGAAGACCACGACTGGCGGTACAGTCGGGGCGTTGCCCTAAGGAACCGAAAATAAGGAACGAGGTCCCTTTTTTCCCAACAGTTAAACTTCGATTTCCTATGGAAAACCTTAGGGGAACCTAAGGCAAATTGCACAACAACGAAGGAACACGGAGCCCCTCCCCAACGAGAAGGGTTCCTTCGTCAACGCCCCGACTGTACAGTGGAGGCCAGTCCACAAGAAACCTTCCACAAGAGACATGGCCCCGAGACCCCAGGACGTCCACTGAGATTTGATGTGGGACCGTCACGCTTTCCATAGCAAAGCCGTCGAAACCCAAGAAACCCAGGGCACCCTGGAGGCAAGCAGGGTGTTTCTTGGCATGGGCCTCGAATGGAAGATCGGGCACCAGGGCCACCGGCGAGAAAGCCTGGCAGACAGGGGCTCGGGGTATACACTCCAAGTCGCCTGGCTGGACAAGGAGCTCGGTGTGCAGACGCCCCAGGCTTCCTGACCTGTGAGGTGCTGGAGCGTCTGTCGGGGGCGCGCAAACATGGATTAGCGATCCATGGATTTGGCGCGCGGTCGCCAAATCCATGGATCGGGGGAGGTACCCACCCCAAAATGCGGCCGGTGCCGCTTCGTTCGGCGGCGGAAATCCACGATTTCCCATGGAAACGGGACCCGTCGCAAATCCACGCCCCCTTGATCCATGTCTGCGGCCGCCTCAGGCTGTGCGCCGAACTCCTCCGCCGAATTCCTTGGTCCCCTGACCGCCCAGAGGTAGGAGGAGGAGGCGCAGCAGGAGCCTCGGCGACTGCCTCACCCACTGCGACGCACGAGGCTACCTGTTCCTGCAGGGGCGGGTACCAGAAGCCCTGCGACGCTTCGGCGGCCACGAAGCAGCGCGAACCACTGTGCCACACCGCCCTGGCGCCACTCAGTCCGAGCCCTCAGACGCGGCGTCCTCGCCGTCGCTGCCGTCGCCGTCCGCCGCCGCGCGCTGCTCGCCCTTCGTGGCCTCGAACACGAGATCCTGCTCCAGGTCGAGCCCGGCGTACGACTCGCAGAGCACCGACACCTTGCAGCGCGTCTTGCCGAGGGCTGCCACCCGGAACTTCATCTCGCCCACGACCTCCCGGGTCGGACGAAAGGGGGGGTCAGTTCGCGGTGGGTCAGCTCAGGTCGGGCACGTCCTCCTACAGGCGGATTTTGAAAGACAAATGAAAATAGTCAAACCATACTTTTGGTAAGATTGAGGAATGAAGCCCATGTGCTCCATAAGTTCAACTTCGAATCCCCATATAAAACCTGAGGAGCACCTAAGATAAACTGTAAAACCAATAGTCTGGCGAAGAACCCGACCATATGATACCAGATGCTGCTGTGAATAACGCAATTGTGAGTACCGTCTTAGGTGAAACTACCTATGAGCCCTATGGGGCCTTCGGTGGAGCTCCCATTGGAGCCACGAAGGGTGTGAGGGGTGTGTCGAAACGGGGATGTCGCCCAAATGCAGGCTACGCCACTGGGACCTTCGGTGGAGCTCCGTGGGGCAACGCAACGTGTGAAGGATGAGCCGAAAAAGGGGTGTCGCCCACATGCGGGCGGCGCCACTGTGGCCTTCGGTGGAGCTCCCTGTGGGGCCACGAACTGTGTGAGCGGTGTGCCGAAAGGGGGGTATCGCCCACATGGGGGCTGAGCCTCTGGGGCCTTCGGTGGAGCTCCCTGTGGGGCCACGAAAATTGAGGGCTGTGCCGAAACGGGGTGTCGCCCACATGCGGGCGGCGCCACTGTGGCCTCCGGTGGAGCTCCATATGGGGCCACGAAACGTGTGAAGGTTGTGCCGCAAAAGGGGTGTCGCCCGCACGCGGTCTGAGCCACTCGGGCCTCTTGTGGAGCTCCCTGTGGGCCACGAAACGTGCGAGGGGTGTGAAGAGACGGGGGTGTCGCACACATGCGGGCTGCGCCACTCGGGCCTTCGGTGGAGCTCCCTGTGGAGCCACGAGGCGTCTGAGGGGCGTGCCGAAACGGCAGGCTGATGCGAAGAGCAGAGGCAAGGATGGGAGGAGGGAGGAGGAGGGAGGGGGAGGAGGAAGGAAGGAAGGAAGGGAGGGAGGTAGGAATGAAGGAAGGAGTGACGCGGGGCGCTGTCTCTTCAAAACGAAGACCAAGCACCACAGGATGGTTGGGAATTCAGGAAGACTGAACCCCTCCCCAACGAAAAGGGTTCCCTCTTCAGCGGCCCGACTGTACCGATACCGCTACTCTGCGGACCTCTCCTGGGGTGCGTTCTGACCAAGATCTCCATGCGAACCTGGCGGTGGCATCGAGGTCCTCCGAGGAGGCCGACAAGAAGGGGGAAACGGGAAAGAGGAGGAGGAGGAGGCTGGAGGAAGGTGGACAGTGAGGAGGAGGAGGAGGAGGAGGAGGAGGAGGAGGAGGAGGAGGAGGAGGAGGAGCCCGAAACAGGGGGGAAACGGGCGAAGAGTAGCAGTATCGGTACCTCTTCCCCCTCTGAGCTCTGGCTGCGCCGCGCCCGCGAGACAGGAGCCCCGAAGGCGCTCGCCTCGTCGGGTGCGACGGCGGCATGCTGATGTCTGGAGGCTCAGTGGGGAAACCACAGAAAGGCTCCCCCCCCTCGGTTTCTCTCTATGCCCCCCCTTCGCCCGACCCGAACCTCGTGGGCGCGAGAGGTCAACCGCTGGCACCTGCTCGCCTTGCCCTTCTTGCCGTCCGGCATGGTGAACACCAGCCACCAGGCCTCGGGCACCGTCGCGCTCGGGAAGAGCGGGGTGTGCGCGGCCCCGGCCGCCTCCTCCGCCTGGAGGTTCGCCCGCCGGAGCGTCACGGACAGGGTGGCGATGTCACCCTCGCAGACGCCGTCCTTCCCAGACCCCCGACGCCAGGATTGCTTTGTTATTGACGTCGACCCCCGAGGTCTCCACCCATTCCCCAAGGACCGGTTTTTCACCGCGAGCCGTTGGTCCCGAAGCCGGGTGAGGGCCCCCCCGGGGTGCCGAGAATGGCGTCAAACCTCCCGTCGTGATGTGTTTTCGTTACTCGAGGGGGCCTGGGCTGGGGGAGCAAGAGGTTGAGCAGGGACCGACCGTCCCGGCATTCCTGTAGTCCTACCACGAAATGTTCTTAGAACCCAAAAATGTTCTAAGAACCAAAACAATGTTCGTAGAACAGAAGCCCGATGCGTGAAACCAAGACAGTCCCAGCCAGAAATGTTCTAAGAGCATCCCGTGGGAACCACAAAAGGTTCTTAGAACATTGCCTGGTGGGGCCATAGGCGAGCCAGGACGCTCCGCCACTGCTGGAGCAAGAGGAGCAGGTCGGGGACTGCTGCTCCGCGCGCCGCGGCGGCATGCCCTCTGCGCCACGCCGCGCCTCGCAGGCTCCGTGCTGGCGCGTCGCCCCGCTCCGTGGGGGCGCGGGAGGCCGGAGGCCCGGCTTGAGGCTCGGCACGTCGACGCTCGAGGACCAGGGGCCTGGCTGGGGCGTGTGCCGCGCCGAGGCGTGGAGGGCCACAGAGCCCGCGGCGCGCCGCGCGGAGCGACACGGAGAGCACCACAGCGGCAGCGGGGCCCGAGGTGTGGCGCCGCATTCGGGCTCTGCAGGGGCCCTCCACGGACCGCAGGACCTTCAGAAAACGGCTCAGAACCGGCGGCGCGACGCGCGAAGCGACACAGAAATCACCACAGTGGCAGCGGGCCCCGAGGTGTGGCCTCGTGTTCGGGCCTTGCAGGGGCCCGAACAGGGACCGCAGGACCTCCAAACAACGGCTCAGGATGAGGAACTGGTCCTGGGGGGGAGGCCTCTGGGGTCCGGGACCCGCTTCCCTCAAGACCCGCGCCCCCCATGCTGAAGAAGGAGCAGTTCCGAAGAGACGACTCTCGGCTGCTCGCAGGGCTTTCGGAACGGCCGGTGCCAGAAGTTCCGCTCCGGCGATGCAAGAATCTCCCAAAACATCATTGCCCAAGGCACTGCTGCGTGAAATGGCCCCAACAATTCTCAACTGCCATCCTGGAGTACCGCTGCCGCCACTCCTCGGACTTCAGCTCGGGGGCGACCTGGCCAAGATCTCGAGGCGAATCCAGCCGTGGCGGCGAGGGGTCCACACCTCGGGAGGCCAGAGCGGGCCAAGAGAATGTTGGGTCGGGGTGCGTAGCATATCGGTTGCTTCTCCTCCGACGTGGTGGATGTGTTTTCGTTGCGTGGGCCCCCAAGGATCCTTCCCAAGGGCCTGCTTTGCAGAGTGTCGAGCATCTGATTGACGGTCCTGGGGCCAGGAAGCTCCCTCCAGATATAAGTGTAGAACAGGCGGCCGCCCCGACTTGTGCCTTGGCGACGCGCACACGGGGGTAGGAGGAGGCTTCTTTGAAGTAGGCTGATTCTTAGAAGGCGCCATCCCTGCATCTAGAGATAAGGCCTGCGCCTTCTGAGAAGCAGGGGCGCTTCGAAGACGCCTTCCCCCTCCCCGTAACCCCCTCTGCGCGTGGCCGACTGCCTGCGACGCCCAGATCGGAGAACGCTCCTCTTCTGAGCCCTCTCCCTCCAGAATAGGTCTCCCAAGCAATGCCGAGGGCGTCACCGCCAGCGAGGTCGCTAACTGCTCGAGGAAGACGGCCCCGCTGGACACCCACAGCATATCAAACCTTCCCTTGTCAAACATCTGAACGATCCTTGCCCCCTGATCCTCGATCCTTGGGAGGAGCTCGCCACGCACTCAGGGCTGACCCCCCCTTGGCGTGGCCTGGAGAGTGATCCAAATCGGGGGCTGGACTGGCACTTGAGCGACGATCAAAAACGTGTCTTACGCGAGATGACATACCGACCTTGCGCGGTGGCTTACGCGTGCCGCCCGCCCAGCACGCTGCACTGGAAACGAGGGCGCTCACGCGCGAACTTACGCGGGCAGCTTACGCGCCAATGTCGGCGAAGACGACCCCGTTGTTTGCGTCGCCCATTTGGTGGCGCGGCTCCGGGGGGGCGCAGGGGGGCCAAACCTAGGCGTGCGGGCTGCTGCTACCGCATCGCATCCCGAGACCGGGGGACCTGCACCAGAGGTCACTTCGGCGAAGGGCCACTATACGTCGGGCGTCCGAGCCACAACCTGGGTCTCAGGCGGTCGTTCGGGGCGATCCGAACACCCCTGGAATGCTCTCGGCGAGGCCAGGGTTGGTGGCAGACATCCCGAGACAGGAAAGCCTCCAGGAGCCGACGAGACGAGTAAGACGAAGCCAGGACGGACAAGGCCGACCAGGGACGAACACTAGGAATCCCTGAGACCCGGCGGCCCTCGAGGCTGCATCGTGGGGCGCCGCGGCCTCCGGAGAAGACGCTCCCGAGGAGCGCTCTTATAGATCGTGCCGGGACGCTCTGACACGATCCCTTCTCGTCCCCGAGACCCGCCCGAGCGGGTCCTCTCCGTCCACGAAGACCTTGGCCGCCGCGATGGAGACCCGCGGCGCCACGGTCGCGAACTCGCTCGCGTCCGCGAGCTCCTGGGGGCCGAGCCCCGCCTCACGCAGGCCCGCCGCGCGCTCCTCGGCGGGCAGCTGCAGGAAGGCGGGCAGGCCGCCCGCCCTGCGGGGGCCCTTCTTCCAGGCCTGCGCGGCGGCGCGCGGCGCTGCAGGGTGGCGCTCCATGCCGCAGCAGAGGAGCAGGGGCATCGGGCGGGCGGACACGGGGGGGTGGCATGACTTGGGGGGGGGAGGGGGAGAAAAGCGCCAGCGAGCCAGGGGGGGGGTGAGAGGGGGCGGGCCTCCTTAATTAGAGGGCTCGGAGGTCTTGGGGCCGTCCGAGAAGTCTTCGGCGCCTCTCCCGAAGATGAAGGACACTTCTCGGAAGGCACGAGGGCTTCTGGCAAGTCCCTCCGCCCTCTGGGAAGGCCTTCTCCTCCTCACTTCCCCCCCCCCTGGCTCGCCGCCGAGAAGAGGGTCCTACAAGGGCCCCCCCTTCACCCCCCAGAAAGGTCGCCCCCCCAGGTTACCACCCGAGGAGGAGGAGGAGGAGGAGGAGGAGGAGGAGGAGGAGGAGGAGGAGGGCCAAGCACTGGCACGGGGCGCCCCCGGCCCCTCTCGCCGCGTCGGCGCCCCCGGGCTCCCGAGGGCCGCGTGAGGGGGTGCTCTGGAGTCCACAGGCCGTCCGCGGGGCTCTGCGGGCAGCCTCCTGCAGACGCGGGGGACACTTCGAGGGAAACAGTCGCCTCTGGCAGCACCCGCACGGGGGGAACGACGACAGCGCGACCAGATCGAGGTGGGAGGCACGTGGCCCATGGCTGCGGGCTAGGAGGGACCGAGCGGCAAGGATGCCACTCATGCCCATGATGCAGCTTGGCTGCGAAAGGACAGGCTCCTTCCGCTGACGGAGACGTGGGAGAGGACGATGCAATAACCTGAACGGCGAAGACGCCAGCAGCGAGCAGGCCTGCAGCCAAATGCATTCATCCTCGCCCAGGGCGCTGCTACGCGACTGGCTCCCGTGGGCGCTCCCTAATCGTCAGCACCCTTACCACCCTTGGCAAGGGTGGCAGTCGGTGCGCGGCTTTCGGGGGCCGCGGGGGGGGGGGATGACCCTCCCTGAAGTCTGGGGCCCGCCATGACTTCACGCGCTGGACGCTCTCGTGCGGGCCCCAGGGCCCTCGCAGGCCGATCTGGCTGGGCGCTTTCCGCAGGAAGGATGGGGCCCAATGGCTTCCCGTCGCGATACCTGCCCATGCTGCGTTGTCTGCCTGCGACGTCGGAGTCGCAGGGCCAGGCAAGCGTGGCCTCCGGTGCGCGGCACTCGGGGAACACGCGGGGGGGCCAGAGTCCAGGTGGCGCGCCAGCCAGTGCTCGGGGTAGTGAACCCCTGTTGACCCGCTTCGAACCCAGGCATACGCAGGTACCCAAAACGTCGGCTGCACGTAAGCGTGGCCCCAGGCAAGGGCGACCTTCGGTGTGCGACTGTCGGTGGCCGCGGGGGACCGAAACCGAGCGCGCAAGCCGCTGCTATCATGTCGCGATCAGCCATCTGGGGGCCCCAGTGTGCCCGCACCAGAGGTCACTCCGGCGAGAGGGCACTCTGCTCTTACGTATAGCCGAAAAGAATCCCGTCGGAGATCTGTGAAGGGCCACTCTGGCAAAGAGGCCCCCCTGCAGGCGCGCAGCCGACGGCCTTGGAGCGCTCGGCGTTGAAGTGCGGCACCTTTCGATTGACCCACAATGGGGTCCAGCTGAAAGGGAGTAATGCAATGGGTTTGGGGCAATTGTATTTATTGTGAATGTATTGCGCCAGAAACTTGCATTGCACTGTATTGCAACTGATGTACTGCACGCGAAAAAACAGCAATACAGATTCGCACCGAAATGTACTGCACGCCCCAAATCGATTGCAAACCCACAGATCTATTGCACCAAATCTATTGCACCACCCCCTTGTCGCTGGACCCCCTGTTGGGTCAACGAGACACCTGCAGCAGGTGGCCGGCCTCCTTCCCCGGCTCGAGGGCCTGGAGGACGCAGCGGTGTAGCTCCACCGCCGCCGCCAGGGCCTCCGCGAAGCCCTGGCGCGCGGAGAGGTCGACCATGGCCATGGTCACCAGGTACCTAGAGGGACCAACAACAACTGCGTAGAATCCACGTCTCTGAGCTCCGCGCGGATTTCTCGGATCGGCGCTGAGCCCCCCTTGAGCCGCAACCAGGGGGTCCCAGAGCCGATCCAAGAAATCCGTGGAGCTCCAGGACATTATGCGTTTCAGAAAAAAACGGCACAAACATCAACTTTTGGCGCTCCGCGCGGGCTTCATGGATCTGCTCTGGACACCCCGTCCTGGCGCGCGTCGGCGGCGCCGCGACGGGGGTCCCAGCGCGGATCCAAGAACTCCGCGCGGAGCGCCACGGCCTATGCGTGTGGCCTCTTCTTCTTCTTCTTCTTCTTCTTCGATGTGTGCCGTCTGCTCTCTTCCTCGAGAGCACCACTTCCTCAGCAGCTCGTCCAGGTCCTGCTGCAGGAGCTCCGGCAGCGCCTCGTGCCGGCGGTGCGCGTGCGCGAGGAACAGCGCCGCCGCCTTCGCCCTCGCGCCCCCCGGCTCCTCGCCCTTGGCCGCGGCCCTGCCAGCCTTCCCCGGCCGCAGCTCCCGGGTGGCCTCCTCGAGGAGCTCGGCCTCCCCGGGGCGCTCCGGGCAGAGGGCGCTCTCGCCGCTGGCGAGCAGCAGCTCCTGCGCCGCTCTGACGTCCATGGTCGGCGTGATCTTCTCGGCGAGCATCTCCATTGTGGCACGCAGCACGCCGTTGGGAAGCACCTCGCCGCTTCCGGAGCCCATGCAGGAGAGCAGCGCCAGCGGCACGCCGACGATGAAAAAGACCACGAACAGGGCCAGGACTGCCCCCTGGTTCTCCTTGCCGAAGGTCGGCAGCGCGACGCCGACCTCCATCCTTGTCGGGCCGTCGGGATTCCCGTACCTCTCATAGTTCCTCCTGGCCACGGGATCGGTCAGCGCGTCGTATGCCTTCTTGATGAGCATAAACTTCTCCGCCGCTCCGGGCTGCGTGTTCTTGTCGGGGTGGTACTTCAGCGACAGCTTGTGGAAGGATTTCTTGATCGCCGACGCCTTGTCCGAGCGGCCGATGCCCAGGATCTCGTGGGGGTCGAAGTTCTGGTACAGCTTGCTCGTGGCCATGACCGCCCTGACCTGGTACACCGTGTAGGCCAACCAGGCCGCCAGAAGCAGCAGGATGACCAGGCGAAAGACGAAGCCCTTGGTGAACATCCTCCGCCGCGAGCGCAGCTCCTGCTTGTGCGCCTCGCGGCGAGAGTTCATCGCCTGCGTCTGGCAGTTCCGCACGCGGCGGCCACGCCCGTCCTCCTCGGGGTACACCTGGGCGACGTCGCCGCGCCCGGGGAAGAGGAGGTTCCAGAGCACGGTGAGGCCCCAGGGCACGACGATGCACGACAGCATCGCCAGGAAGAAGAACAGCACGCCCAGAACACCGAGACACCGCGCCAGCTCAGAGCTTCCGAACGCCCGCGCGAGTTTCTTGGGCCAACGCTGGGTCCCCCTCCCAGCACGGCAGGAGAAACGAGTGACCACCGCCGCCGAGAACCCATCGGATGGGGGCCTCGACCCCTGGGCGACGGCGCGCCCGGGCCTTGCCCAGCTCCGGACGACTCTCAAGCGTGCCACCGCCCAAAGGTCGGCCCGGCCCCCCCATGGGCTGTGGATGCCATGACAATGGAATACCTAACCGCTCTATCATTGAATCAAACAGATATCTATGTATGTTAAATGTCTTTTGCATGCTTGAAACGTGATTGACATGTGTCTAAATCATATTCTAGAGGCACGTTTCAGACATCTGGAAGTTGTTTGTCGATCTGCCTCCTCTCCATTGATCGTCTTCCACAACCCATAGCTTCTTCTCGGTGGCAGTGGTCTCTGTTTCTCCTCTGAAGACACCCGTTCCCGCTAAGGGCTGCGCAGGAGGCGCCGCGCGAGGGGACGGCAGCGAGTGTGGGGGTGGCAAGGGGAAACCAAAAAGGATCGGTAACGCCACTTCTCGGGACCTCTCCCGTGGGCGCGTGCTGACCAGGATCTCGAGGCGAGTCCAGCGGTGGCGACGAGGGTCTCCCAGGAGATCAAAAAAAACAAAAGGTAAAAACGAGGGAACGGTAGCGGTATGGGTACCTGGTCCTCTCCTGAGATGTGAAGCTTTCAGCCAGCGATCTGACAGGTCCCGACCAGTTCCCCGGGAATAGTTGTACGCCCCGCATCCCTGGTTGATGGCCCCAGTGCCCGCAAAAGGTACCCGAAGGCCGACATCGAAGAAAAGAGAACGGTTGACGGAGTCCCATCGTCAAGATTCCGAACAATGCTCATGGGAAGGAGACCAAGAGGTATACCGATACCGCTACTCTCCCGACCTAGGAGCATTCTGACCAGAACTTCCAGTTCAAGGCGAATGCAGTTTTGGCGACGAGGGCTTCCCAGGAGGCCCAAAAAGGCAAGAACGAGACCAGGATAGCGGCATCGGTCATCCAGAAGGCTATTTCATGAAGGCTTTTTTTTCCGTAAAGCTATTTTTCCTGCGCGGGATCATCTACGGATTGGGACCGAGAACGATACTGGCAACACAAGAACAGCACTGCGGCGGCCACTGCTGAGGCTTCCGCCGTCTTCCTCGTCGACGCTGCTGTCGTCGTCATCGTACTCGCATGCTTACTTTTTCTAAGCCCTACTACTGTACGATCACGGGTACTATTACCATTACAAACAAGCCCAAACTTCCTGTCGTGCATGGTGGCCCAGAGCATTATCCGATGGGAGGAGCAAACACCCAACAGTACCGAACCCGGCGAACAATAGTGCGCAAATCATCCCCCGCGCGTGGCAACCACATAATAAGCTAACCACAAGCATGGAGATCCCTCACTGTGCACGATTACCTGAGCGACTTCCACATGAAGATGGCAACGACGATTGCAACGACTACGACGACGAAGACGACGCGCACTGGATTGGAGACGTACCGAAGTATCTTAGAACCCGTACGAAGACACAATCAAATTTCCTCGGTCGCGCAGGGTAGCCCAGGAACCATTTCCGACGGGAGGAACAACCACCCAACAGGATCCAGCACGGCGAACACGAGGGCGACAAGAATTCCACGCGCGGTAAGCACCGAAAAAGCTCAGCACGACTAGGACGAGAACTTACTGCGCACGGTCACCTGGGCGAGCCCCCGATGAAGAAGGCGACGACGACGATCGCGACGACGACAAGGGCGAGGAGACGAAAGCGACGAGGATCACGAAGACGACGAAGACGACGACCATCACGACGATCGCGACGATCACGACGATCGCGACGATCACGACGACGAGGGCGAGACTGGGGAGGGCAAGGAGGGGAGGGAGGACGATGACTCCCAGCCGAGGGCTTGGGGGGGGGGCCTCAGCCTCGAAGACCTTCCACGGCTACTTGGCTCCTCCTCTGAGCTCACGCAGCTTCTCTGGCCTTCTGCATGGCGGACTCATCCTCATCGCCAGAGGGCTGCTTCTTCCCTCCACCTCGGGGCATTGGGCGGGGCCTGCCCCAGCAGGGGGCGGCGCTGCGCTGCTCGCCCGTGCCCTCTCTGCGAGGTCCAAAACTTGAGCCGCAACGGCTGCGGACGGGGCTCCGGCCACGACGGCGTCGACCCCAGAAGTCCGAAGGGCGTGCTGTTCCGATCGCGGCATGTTCCTTCATCCCGGGATCCCATAAGGCCGCTTCCGGGTCCCAGGGCCATCAACGATGGATCCCGCACGGAAGACTGCCCCTGCGGAGAGGGCCGGGGGCTCCAGGAGCCGCGGACTGAACTATATCACGCCGTCCAGGGTCGGCGATCACCGCGCAGTCACTCGATGGGGCACCTCGGCAGGGCCCCAGGTACGGCTCGGCCCTGCTCTGGGCAAAACGTCTCCCAGTTTCTGGGCCACTCAGGCCACGCTTCGCTGCACCCCATCCGCCGCCGGCTGGTGCGCAGGCTCGCCTGCCTCCGAGCGGTCTCGTGGTGTCCTCCTGGCCTCCTGGTGCGGCAGTCGCTGCTTCTGCACGTCCGGGGCGGAAGACCTGTCGCTCCAATTCGCCCCAATCCCCACGCCCCATCTCATTGCCACCATCTGGAGGCAATGAGATGAACAACCAACTAACATGGCACATCTTGCTTTTCCACTCAGGTTGTCCGCGCGCGCACCCCTTGTGCTTTCAGAGGTGCAAGGTCGGCTAGCATATCTTGCTGAGGACTGACCCAAGGTGCAGCCGTGCGGCAACAACACAGATGGAGGGTGGCTCTTTTTCAGAATGAGGCTCTCGCGTGAGACTTCAGAGAACCTGATGGCCAGGAACTGATAAGTGTGCAACGGCTACACGGATGCAGGGCGGTGCCTTTCCAATGCGGGGCGGACGCAGGGCACTTCTGTGAACTGGACTCCACCCTGTCGCATTCCATCGGGATCGAAAGTTAGAAGGGGGCTTCCTTCAAAGCGGAGCTGCCGCCTCAATTGTGAGCCCATGGGGCGCTCGTCTTTCCAGCGCGCCGCTTCCAGCAGTGAGAACTTAAAGGATGCTGCCAGGGACTAGTCAGGACGGGGCGTAAAAGGGGGGGCTGCGGACGGAGAGTGCACTGCAGCATCGATGGTGTATATTGGGCTTACGTGCGCTGGTCCTCCTCCTCCTCCTCCTCCTCCTCCTCCTCCTCCCTCCTCCTCCTCCCTCCTCCCCTCCTCCTCCTGGTCCTCTCCTCCTCCCTCCTCTCCTCCTCCTCCTCCTCCTCCTCCTCCTCCTCCCTCCTCCTCCTCCCTCCTCTCCTCCCTCCTCCCTCCCCTCCCTCTCCCTCCTCCCCCCCCCCCCTCCTCCTCCCCCCCTCCCCCTCCTCCCTCCTGCCCCTCCCCTCCCCCTCCTCCCTCTCCTCCTTCTCCTCCTCCTCCTCCTCCTCCTCAACCCTCTCCCTCCCAGATATCCAGCGTCGCGGTTTTCTCGCGACGTGTGCCCCAGGGCCTCTGAAAGGGGCGCGCGATCCACCGTGGCTGGCCTGAGACATTTCTCTAAGGGGGGGGGGGGGAACCAGGGATCCACCCCCAAAAATCTCCCAATGGGGGAGGGTCCGAATTTCTCGAAGAGGGGGCGAGAAACCGGGGCTCCACCCAACAAAACAACATCCAATGGGGAGTTGCAGAAGTCCTGGAAACCGACGACCGGCCCGGAGGCCTCTACAAGATAGGCAGATCCCAGGATCAACCCCACCTCCCCCTGTTTCCTGGGTTCCCGTCGTCCCCATCCACTTCCCATGTTTTCCCACCTTTTCCCGGGGACCGACGACCGGACGGAGGCCTCTACAATATATAGGCAGATCACAGGATCAACCCTACCTCCCCCTGTTTCCTGGGTCTTCGGCTTCCCCACCCACTTCCCATGTTTTCCCACCTTCTCCTGGGCACCGGCGATTCATTGTGTCCGTGTATTCTTTCCTATCTTGATCTCCTATCGCGACTTGGCTCGTGACGCGTGGCGGCCCCCTCGAGGGCGGAGTCGACCGGGAGGGGGCCCTCGCAAGGGCCCCCTGTAGTTGAGCAGTTCCCTGGCCCATCGGAGTCGTCCACCATCCGCCCAGGGCCCGTCGAGCAACGATGAAAAAGCATGACAGGAGGTGCTTTGCCATTTTCGGCATCTGGGGGCCCTCGCCGGGCCCCGGGCCGTCAGACAACTAACAACTCGACCTGAAAAACTGGTCCAGGGGAATGGGTCGAGACCTCGGAGGGCGACGCTGTGAAACACAGCATGACGTCGGGGGTCTGGGTATAAGGGGCCATCATTGGCATCATATGGTGACAGTGGTCCATCTCCGGTTCCAGCGGTGCGTCCTGGCCAGAATCTGGAAGGGAATCGAGCCGTGGTGGCGAGAAGGCGGCGGCGCGCCTCGTTGATGCCCCGGAGATGCACCCGGGAACAGCTCAGGACACTCGATCCTCGATCCACTCCCTGCCTGCAGGAGCACTGGCAGTCGGCACCACCGCCACGATCGCGAGGGCTCCGGGGGGGTGCTCCCGGTAGTGTGGTCCTCCCGTGTGGCGGCTTCCCGCTCGGGGCAGCCCCAGCCCGCAGCTCGGAGAGGCATTGTGGACCACCTCGCTGGAGGTCGCCTGCTGGTGGCCTCAGGTCGGGCATGTCCTCCTACGGGCAGGTTGTGGAAGAAGAACGAAAAGTTGTCAAGACATACTCAGAAATAGCCCAAAATAGTAGAACCATCGTCCCCTGACTACCTGTTTACTATTTTTGAATCTTCCGCCTGTAGAGGGACACGCCCGACTTAACACAGGCTGGCCCCTTGACCCGTGTCGGGGCGCGCTCTGGCGGGGATCCCCAGGAGGTGCGTCTGCACGTGGCGACGACGAGGGCGCCCAGAGGAAGGAAGACCTCCAAAC